CCCTTAATAAATACACGGTGTCCCAATTTAAAAAAGGTAGAGATGTATAATAATATAATATATGTACAGAGTAAGATTCCTCGAAAGAACATTATACACGTTTTCTCGGTATGAGATTAATTAATAAATTTTTTCATTGGATCACAGAATGGTAGCGCCCGAGCGTGGCAATTTCTTCATGAAGACGTTCGAAAACGACCCGGCGTTCGAGACCATTGTTCTCAGCGATATATCCACGAAATACGAAGCGAAATGATCCTTCTCGTCTCATTTCCTCTTCCATTACCTTTCTTCTTCGTTTCATCCCATTTCCCCGGTTTCTTTTTTGTCTTTTTTGTCCGTCGAGCTTCGTTCCCTTCGCGCGATCCTCACGATATAATTGCGATGGATCGACAGGCGAACGAGGATCGAGCTGGTATCGGGCCGTTTTCGAAGATCTCGCCGTCTAAAGCTAGCATATGTAGTTAAATACCCAAGGTATTATAAAATGGAATATAGCATATTAAAATTACATACTATCTTAATACGTACTGCGCTATCAGTCACTGGACATTGGACACCCCGTACCGATTGAACGGGGACGTCTGAAAAGATTTGGAGCTGCCCCGACTAATTATCGTTACATGTAAACGTATAAGATTTCGAGTCACGATCGAATGCACTTATGGGAGAAAGCAGCACGTAATATACGCAGCGTAAATGTGATCGTACCTCGAGGCTAAGAGGGTACCGTCGAACCAAACGCAAGGGTACACGGTGCCCGAATCTGGACGCAGTTTTCGATTCATAGTCATCGCCACTGCCGAATAAATTTCAATCGCTCAGGGTCGACTATCGCGCCACACACCGCACCCATTTTAGGATCTGGTTGTACTTCGGCTTGCAAACATGTCACAGATAATGCCCCCTTATCGTTATTCGTCTCGATTTATTCCCCCAAATAAGGTAGCAATTTGCTCAGGGTCAGGGTTCTACCGCGACTTTTATGTCCTCGGCCATTCGTCTTTTGATTTAAGCCCGAGTTTAAGTGGTAGGTCTAATTTTCGGGGAATTCTTTATGGCTGTTTGGATACCGATATTTACTTCTGGGCGAGGTAAATGATCGTGGTGTCGCTGAATATAAGAAAATTGTAGGTAAGATTTAAATTTTTTTTGGCATTTTGGGCACCAATTGGAAGAAGTCAGATTGACAGATGGCATTTTTGATCAATTATTTGGGTATATTACTGTATTTGAAAAGAAATAAAAATGAGAAAAGTATACTGAGGATTGAAACATTCCAGGATACTGATATTCTCTGAATGAGATGAACGTGTAGTATCCTAAATTTTTCTGACTGCAATTGATAGATATTGTAAAATTGAAAAATATTTTTTCCCGTAAATCAATTAAATGTACCATTCTGATATAAAACAAATGAAAACAGGATATTCGTTCCTATCAAAAGTGAAAATAACTATACCCAAATCGTATTATTGTAATAGTTAGGAATTGGACAGTGTAATAATTGTTTACAGATAATAAAAAGACTATATCAAGCAAGAAATAACAAACAAATAACTGAACGATGCACTATTCGACACCATTTTATTTTTCCGAACGAAATTTCGTTCTACCGTCTTAAAACTGTGGCATGTCCTAGTTACGTGAAACTGAATTCCCTATAGTCATTACCCTCGAACGTGTTAAATGTCTTACCCTCTATCCACAGTCGCCTTGAAACGCTATGCCTTAGACTGCTGTAAGACATTGGGAACGGACGAGTAACCAAACAATGTGGTGAGAGAAGCATTCGAGTGGTCGAACAGGCGTGGTGGGGGAAGCGTTCGAGTCTCCAAACAGCGTGGTGGGGGGCGCGTTCGAATAACCAAACAGCGCAGTGGGGGAAGCGTTCGAGCGATCTTGAGCGACCGACATCTTTGGCCCAGACTATATCGCGTCACGCATTGCACGTTTCTCAGCTCCCTCTCTGAAAAATCTCGCGATTTTCCTCGAACCAAGGAACGCCAAACCTTTCCAGGTTATTCTTAAGTACATTTTCAAATGTAACGAGAAATTTGAACGGTTTCTAGACTATTAGATCTACGATTGTAACCTGCACGAAATCAAAAATTGCTCGAGATTCGACACTCTTACTAAGATAAAATATCTTCTCTAGATAGTCTAGTTGAACCTCCTACAAAATTCGATTGTTACTTCACGAAAAAAACCGTGAGATCGACTCGAAGAGCCAAAAGCTACGAGTCACTACGTATGTACTCGAAATGGAATGTTCGATTGCGTCGAATGCAAGACTGGAACGCAATGTATCATTTAGAGGATGAAATTAATGCGTACCCGTAATCGAAGAGCAGCAGATTGTTCGATTGCCGTCGTAGTTCTCGTTGACTACCGCCATTTATTGATCGAATCGATCAGCTAAGTGATTACGTGAAAAACGGATCTGGCAAATAAGGAAAGAGATACGTTCGAAGCTTGTACAGCATCTCTCTTGTGCAGACATCGTAAGAGTCGAATGTATGTTTCACGACGTGTCACGAATGCCATAAGTCTTTCGAAAAAAGGGAAGAAATGCAGAATATCAGGTATTTCGCGAAATATCTTCGATATTTCAATTGTACCGATGAAAACATGGAATATTACGGAAGAATCTCATATTACATATGAAAATCTTTCAAAGAACGTAATAAGAGAATACGTGACAGTAGCAAAAGGAGTGAAACGAATAAAAATTACAGTCAAAAAAGATGGAAATATCTGAGATATTGCACCAAACTGTTTAAAGCTAGAATTCATTTCAGTGATTAAAATAAATCCGAGAATATTCTTAATTATTAATCAAAAAATTACGTCTCCAAAGAAAGATAGACAAGACGAAAATAATTCTTCGACAATCATATTCTTCCTCGTCAGACCACGTGGATCGCTAAATCCCGTGAAACGCGAACGATTTTGCACGTGCAATGACTGATACTAGACCATCGAAATCGGGACCAACTTGCTTAAACGTTAAAGGACATTCGTTTTGATAAATCGTGTTCTCTAAAGACGCTTAGTCCCGATCTCGGGTCCGCCTTACTTACGATTTAAATATTAAAGTGTAATGAGTATGTTGGCGTTCAAAACCTCTGTATAGTTTCTTACATTATTAAATCGAATTTCGGATATAAGATGATTAATCGATGAAATTAATTACTGATATTCCGCGACCGAAGAAATATCAGCCATGCGGTACCTCTACCCTCGTCCATCCCTTACACCCTCTCTCTCATTCTCGCCTTCTTCATCCTTAAAATTGTCTATCTCTTCCTTCGAATTAATTAAATCTTGGTCCTTGAGTGCATGGTTTTATATTTTCGCGTCGAAGTCGATTTTACCCAATTCTTCGAGCTACTTTCTTCATTCGACTTTCATTTTTAATGACGACTCGATACTTTCCTTAAAGAATTTCTTCCTCACACCTTCTCTCGCGTATACCACGAGGACCTCCGTCTCACGCGGGAAACAAATCTCGCAACGTTCCCATAACGGCGCGATCCTGTCCTGGAATATCCTCGAAATTTTTCCCCGTGTCCTCACCGCGAGGTCCGCTTAACGAGGATTAAATCGGTTGATCGAGGACTTGCTCGATTCTTCGGAACTTTCCTCTCGTCGAGGAGAAAAAGGAAAATAATCATGATCCTAGTCACAGAATCTCTGTGGACGAAAAAGTTCCGTCGTTTCCAGGTCCTACGCTCTAACTTTCGAATACCCTCTCCGTCTCCACGTGACCACGAATTATCGAGAAAATTCGGAAAGGATTATCGGACCTGTGACCCCGCCGTGGAGGATTTCGTTCCAAGGTGACTGCGAAGTATTTTTAAAAAACTAAACGCGCGTCGTTGCATGCTTTGTTCTCATTGTTCCGAGAGAGAAACGTAGCCTCCGTGGTTTGGAATGAGCTTCGAGACTATCGAGATCTCGGCCGGGTTCTCTAGACAGCGGCAGTGCGACGAGTAAACGTCTCGGCCTTGCTGTAATTCGTCGAGGAAATTGATTTCCTACCGAGCATTTGGATCGAAAGGTTACGTCTTGTTAAATTTATCTATCTTGTTAAATTTCTCTCGCCTGTAACGAGCGAATCGCGCACAAAAGAGACACCTAGCCCCGGTGAACGGTATCTTTCCCGCTGGACTTCCTGACAGGAAATTGCTCCGAGTAGAATTGCGTTCGAAGGCGAGCGGAATGCTCGGTGAATACGCGTCGAAACTCGATTCCTCGAGAATACGAAACTTTCAAGGAGATAGGCTGTGCTCGAATCGAAATTAGCGCACGGGAAATTGCATTTTCGACTATGTAGATTACACTTTCGTTGGCTGCTAGCTCGAGTGAGATGCTTTCGATTAGTTGCTTGTTTTACGGTCGATTGCCCCCATTGAGGATCTGCAGGTAAACCGTGGAATTCGATTATCGGAACCGTTAAACGATTGATCGTTCAGCGAGGTACAATGAATTTTGCACGAGAATATTTTTCCCGCTCAAGAGTCTGCCATGTTGTTTGCGATTTTTCGTTGCGTCCAACGAATGACAATGACGAGTCTGTCGTTTAGATGGAAACGAAATTGGTGTGACGTTTGCAACGAAACCTTGGTCCCATTGATCAAGTTCTGCGGACATTTGCCTCTTTCGGAAGAGGATTCTTCGTTACTGGGAACTCGTGGGAAGAGTCGAATCAACTGCGAGACAGTAGCGAGATTTGGAACAGCTGTCAAGAGAAATCGACGAAACCGACGAAATCTCGATGTCTTCCAAGGACTGTTCGTGTATCAGAGTCGATATGAACTCTTTAACCTTTTCCTCCTCCTTTTCTCGAATTCGAAAACCACTTTCAAACGATTCCCATTGACTCTATCGCCTTCCAACGCGTGTCTCCTTTAATCGCGCAACCAATCATAACCAATGGGATAACGTGTTCGAAGCTCTCGCGATACCGACTACTCGTAGAAACGCTCGTGGTCGTGATGGTCGTCATCGCCGCCGTCGTAGAAACCGCCTACCCGAGTTTGTTCCCGATATAAGAGATCCTCGCGATCGTTTCAACTTCAGCCAGAAGAGGCTCCGAAGTTTCGCCCGTTATCTAGATCCTGGACACGTAAAGCGGCCGATGAACCTGCTGAGGGTTACCGTTCTGCTTCGAATAGCGTGGATTCTGCAATAGTTCCCTGGTCTCGCTTGGCGAGCCAGGGCTCAGACTGTTGGTGGTGGAGGTTTCCACGCGGTCGCTGATAATCTCCTCTTCGGTGATCTGTTCGAGGTACAAGGCGGATTGGACAGCCTGGTTATCCCCGTTCATTGTCGGAGGCGGTGAGTAAGCAGGTGGAGGACTTCTAGGCGGAGACCCGGAGTCTTTCTCGTTCTGCGTCTCTATGGATCCGGTGGAAGCAGCCTGCTGCATCTGTCTCGCTCTTCTCGCATGCTTCGTGGTCAGTCCTCCGGTTTCGGGGTCCCTCTCCAGTCTATGTCCCGACCTGGACCTGGTCAACTGCCGTTGCACGTACTCCTCCAGCTCGTTTTCCTCCTTCTTAGCGATTACCTTGTTCAGGATGATCAAGAACATCCCGATGAAGACGACGAAGAGACCTACAGCCACCAGCTCGTTCCACCAGCTGCCAGAGCGCTTGGAGCCCCACTGGACCAGGTCCCCGGGCAACAGGCCGCTCATCAGAAGAAAAGCACCGAACACCAGGAACACCACGCCGATGTGAAGCAATCCCACCGACGTGATCACCTTAGAGTCCAACATACCCTGGCCGGCCGAGCGATTCGTATGTCCGGATTTATGGTGCCTCGGTTGATGGTCCAAGGAACCGGTCGAAGCCCTGGGCGACGTCAGGCCGCTCTCGCCCGATTGCGCGCTATAACGACGCTCGCGGGCACGACGCTGCTCGTCCCGGCGCTTTCTCTGACGCTTGATGGCCAGCGCCGAATGCAATCCAACCGCGTGCATCCTGTAACACCGGAAAGACAACCCTTGCTCAGTCAATCCTCTACATCTCTCATCCTCTCTCTCATCTCGCTCAGTCTCTCTTTCTCTCTCTTTGACTATGAGTCTTACTTTCGCTCGCTCCTTACTCTCTGCTCGAATCTCTACCCGATTCACTTCGAAACTCGCAGCCATTGGCTAGGTGGAACCTTTAGCCATGACCGATATGCCGAGACGAGCATCGCGCGTTTCTATGGCATGAAAAATGGGGCTCAACAGACTCGAAGCGTCAAGGATCATTGGCTGTTCGCTAGTTTCAGCAAGTTCAGCTACGTCAAGGTTCTCTCTCTCTCTATGCGTTCGTTCACATGCAACTGGATTCTCACGTGGCTACGTTCTCTTTACAAAAGCATAAGACTATTTCGATGTGTAGTAACATTATTGCCAGACTAATGACATCCGACTATCGAATCGAGCCGGGAATGATCACGGTTTTGTTGAACCTTCAGCTCGAGCCTCGTTCCGATTCGAATTTAGCGTGCTTCTAGCTCTAGGATGTCGATGCTCGTCTCCGTGCACGTTTACGTATTTCGCGTTTTATCGATTGCTCGGTTACGTTCGCGACTCTAAAGGCTGTACAGGGTTCGCTCACAGGGTTCACAGGATGCACTGCGATAGAATCGCCGCGTTAATTCGCTACGTTCGCTAATGGATTACCAAAAATGTCTCTCCCGACGCCGCTGTCGTCGAACCTGTGAAGGGTCTCTTCTTGCACGTCCGCTCCTCCCCTCAGCGACGCGATGCTCAGCGACATGGAAAAAAGGAGATGAGATGAATGTCTTCTTAATTTAAACCTGGTATGATCCTTCTTTATCTCTGATCTCTTTTACAGCAAGCAAAAGTAAAAATGAATCCGATGCTCCTAGTCCTTGCGATATATTTTCCCTTTCTTTTTGCCAGACTCGCGGAATCATAGAGTCTAGGTCAGGAACTCCATTGTACGCAACTTTTAATTATTCTGTTACACCTCATTTCCTTTTTTCTTCGTCCTCGTGCCTGCATGTACAACAGGTACCTCGCGTCGAGGTCCAATTGCAACTGGATCGTTGGTGAATGATCAAGTTAACGTTAAGATCGTTTGGAATATCCGTCGAGAGGCTGTCAGTGGTATGTTTCGAAAGATTAGAGCGTGCCTAGAGTCCTTCGATCGGATAGATCGATGCACAGTTTAATTGGAATCTCTAATTAGCTAGGTTCTGACGTTCTCTCCCGATGACTTGGCCAGCTTCCGGTTAGATCTGCATGCCGGATGCTGACCAATTTGCAGGCAAATGTCCGGCTCACAAATAGAAATTGAGAAAAGTTCGCGGGAAAAATTTCGAATTGACGTATCTGACGTGTGAATTGTGGAAAAGAAGAATATAGAGATACCAAGTAGAGTCAGGCGTGGGAACCAAGTTTCTTGCTATTTCTTTTCGTTACAGGAAAGGAATACAAACGGTATTTTATAATACCGATTTATTATTTAAACTGTGGTCGAGTGAAGAAGCTTCCAGAGTGCATCGATATAGAAGGTGTCAAAGAAGAAAGGATTCGGTGTTTCGTGAATAAATGAAGACGAGTTTAAAGGATTGATCGAATACTTTGAAACTATTATTTGCAGTTACTTATTGCAAATAATAGACTTGAAATATTCTTGAAATATATTTAAAAATCTGAATATTTGGAAGCTAATTTTAAATAAAACCTATCGATAATAACTCCTTCGAAATACATATATCAATTTATATTATACGTACGAATGTATATTAAAATTCTGATCTCTTTAATTCGGAAATTGTTCTAATAATTTCTAAATATTTTTGAAAATTAAAAGAAATTTTCCGCCTTTCTATAAATGTCCACTTTTATTTCCCTTATTTAAATCACACCCTTGTCGAAGTAAATTAATATTCTAGATTTTATAATGGAATATAAATATTCTATGGTTTATATTTTTCAATTGTACGGTACTGTCTATTTAATAAATCTGCCAGTTAATCATTCTTTCAAGAGCATATTAAACATATGAGGTACAAATTATATTTTATACTCTCGTGAAACACCGGGAAAAAATGCCTTTCTATTGTCTCCTTGAAATAACGGTAAAGTAATTACAAGGAATAAAGACAAGTGCAATAGCTTGATGTATTGGTTATTACTTTGCGGGGAATTAAGTTGGGCGTGGGTTAAAAAGCGCTTTTTAATATTGACTTTGTGACGTTCCTTTTCATCGTAATGCCATTATGTTTGCTTTCACGATCGCAAACGCATTTAAATAAGTGCTACATTTAAAAAAGGTCAGGATAATTTTCACGGTTAATTTCTCACGCGAGGAATGCTTATTTAGAAAGGATGAGACATATCTCTCGTGGCTTTTGACTTTTTAAGCGATATTAAACAACGAAACATAATCGATACTACGAATAAATCAATTTTCGAGCGAGAATTTATGCGTGAAAGGAAATTTATTGGGGTGCAATAAAATATGATATAATTTAAACAGCGTGTGTACGATAAAATTTAATATGTGAGACAGATTGAAAAATTGTTAGGAAGGAAAGTCACGCGAATATTGTGATGGCTATTAACTCTTCGTAAGGTTTCGTATGCGGATACGTCGCTGTCAGAAAAATCGCGATAAATTGTATTTGCGAAAATTTTGTGACGAATAAAAGCCAGGGACTCTTCGAAATAATCTACGTGTCATGTTTCCATTTTATTTCAGCTTCTTTCGTCATTGACAAGCTGCTATCTACTTTTATTGACAGGAAACATTTCACGTTTCATGTGAAATACCTGATAAGAATATCAAATGTCATCTATAATTTATTCTTAATAATATACGGTATTTATTAAAAATTCACAGAATACGAGACGAACAAAATATTAAATATTAATACCAGATTTTATATTATTTTATGCCTGATACGAATCTCATGGTTCTTTAATTTTCCTAATTTCACGTAAGAATAATTTCAATGTTTAATATTTAAATTCCAATATGAGAATATTTAAAGATTTGGACGCTTTTTAAAAAGTAGAAGTTCCCTTTGTTACCTGGGCGTAACAAATATGTGATATTTAATATTTTGAAATAACCTTTACCCCATTCGCGTTCGTGTAACATTTCACGGAATTTATTTTACCTCGTCGCTGTACCATTGTGAAAAGACCTTTCTTTTTTTCAAACTCTTGCCATTTCTTTTCAGAGCGGCGTTGACTTTCTTTCAAATTCTAGACCCCATAAAACGTCGAAAGCATAATAAAGTACAACGAATAATAATCGTAGTGACGGTAAAAGGTAAGCTTCCATTCTTGCCTTTCGTTGTTTCAAGAATTTTTATAATCTGACCGTTCCCTCAAGAAAAATACACCTTATATTATTTTCTTCTCGGGTCGGTGTATTATTTGGCTCTAATTTATAAAACAATAATTCACCAAGATAAATACGCCTATATCGAACGCGCGATACTTTTCCTTTTTACTTTAATTCCATTTATGTGTTTTCTGTGAAAATATTTTAATAAGAAGCTGCGAGCGATATCATCGTTCTTTTAGATTCATGAATTTACGATACGTTTAATCCGTTGTAAAGCGAAAATGCGTGACACGTTTCATTCATAAAAGTGTTTTCTGTGGTACACCGAAACAAGGGCTTCATACTTTTAATTATGAAATTTTCATTAATCCGAGCAACTTTCGTTTGAAGCTATATAGCAATGGCAAATATAATTCTTGCCATTCACTGCGAAACTCACTTATATTTTACTTTTCATAGAGATTTTAATTATGTTTTGTTTACACTCTGTCATGTTCGCCAGTGTATACGGTATTATTTTAAGAATTGTTTCGAGCCGACTGTGTCACGGGACAGAAAGATTTATTTGTAAGTTTGTAAATAAGATGTCCAAGATATCTCTTTCGAAAGCTCTTGTGTTATATTAAAATAATTACGCAACTTGTTGAAAGCCAATATCCAGCAGTTGGTATCAAGAATTCTTACGATTCTTGCGGTGATTGCGAAGATATGGCTCGCAACACGTTGCGTGACTCACCCCTTATATCCATCGAAAATATATACAAGAAGCAACAGAAGTATCCTAGTATCGTAAATACATTTATAAAAATCCCCAGAAATACTAATAAACATACACCCAAATTTTTACTTTCGCGTATTTCTTTTTCCTTTTCATGGATTAAAGCCTGTTCTTATTTTTGTTTAATTACTGCTGCTAAAAATCAGCAAGAGAGTACCGATCTTCTAAAAGACACTGAACTCTACCTCTAAATATAGCTAAGTACATGACTCACTGTAAATTCCATTGTGGTTACCAGTAACTTTTATAAGTGTACTATGAATGAAATCGAAATTTCCAATTAAGGAACGAAAAATCGTGTAAAATAATTTCCCTTTCAATTCAAAAAATTGCGACTCTTGGAAACTCGTACAGGAGCTACGTAACAATTATTTTAAAAATAAAATCGAAATTATGGGGTATGAATCATCGATCACCGATCTCTGACCATAGTACCATTTTTTATTACAGATCGATCCTCCACAATGGCTTAAGTTTCATTTCCAGCGAAGCGTTTAAAGCACTCAGCTTAATGAAACGATGTCCTATTCAAATTATATCTATTATTGCATTAATTATTTTACTTTACGCAAATTGGTTTCTCGCGAACAGACTTTATCGAGATCTTCACCTTACGGTAAGTTAGAAAAATATTGACTGGTTCATCGACGAAATTCCTTTTTTTAAATCATCACTACGAGAAATAGCAGTCTCGTAAAACACACAACCGAAAATACAAAGAAAAATTTATTTTTCTATTTATATTTTATCGTTGTGCTATGAGGATTATTTATTAGATCCTTTCCTATCTTCCTCTTCCTTCATTCTTTCTTTATTTTTCTATTTCCCCTATTATTCCCAACTCACTAGATATTTAAAATATTCCCTGAAAAATTTGAGTAACAC